TATATATATATATATTTATATAGTGGAAAATTGTACAATTTTATGTAAAAATAATTTATTGCATTTATCGAAGCTATTTTCAACGAAAGGAGGAATGGTAGGAGGTCTGTTTTCTGTGGCTAGATCAGTGTATACTTAAGGATTTCGATTCTTTCCCTCAGAAATTTTCACAAATTGAGAAATGGCCACTTTTTTACATTAATGCTCATAGTCTGTGCGGATTAAACATTTACAATTAAATTTGACATAAAGACGAAATAACTGAATTTTTGGAAGTTTTAAAAAAGTAATCGAGGGAAAGAATCGAAGTCCTGAGTGTACATTTTCGGAACTTAAAAAAATGAAATAGGTTTATGTTTGATATATGTCAAAAATGAGAAAGAAAGTTCTAGTGCAATCTAGTACTAGAACAGAACTACTGCAGGAACAGAAAACAGATCATTTATAATTTTGCTGATATGTATCGATCGTCATTATATTGCATAGATTATACAATTATATTATTTAACCTTTCACTGAATATTTTTATGTCACAGAAATGCCGCCTACTAAGAAGGGGGACTTGGATAAGTTAGCATGGGCATGGATAGAATCCATCAGTCCAGACGAGATTGAGAAAACACATTTAGAAACTGCATATAGAATTGGATTAAAGAGTTGTAAAAATTGCAAGTAAGTTGGTAATTATTTTGTAGGAGTAAAAGATTTCTATACATCAATTATACTAATATTGCAAAGTTTATTGTGTGGAAGAGATAAAGGGATAGACAAAACTAGTTTAATATAAACTTTTATTTCACACATGGAGAGACACGAGACTTCCTTAGCATGCTTTGCACTTTCTTTTTCATTCTACCTTTTTTTCTGGAAGTTCCTTGATCTTCGACTTTCTCCATGATGGAAAAATATAAGGTGAGACACTCCCATGGATGCACATTCAAATGAAACTACTGCTTTTTGACCAATCAAATATTTGGCCGCAAATATTTTAGTTTAGCAGCCATTATGCGCAATGTCTCATTTTATATTCTTTCATGGTTTTCTCAAGATTTATCTGTCCCATAGCTATGTTACTAAACTGCTGTGCTGTGATGCTCACGGTTTAACTCTACAAAATTTAAGCTGCATTCAGGAATATACACAGAGTGTCTTCAAGTATTATTCTATTCTTGTTGTTTACCAAATGTTAAACAAACATAAATTGATACCTGGAGGAATTCAGTGTATATTCCCAAACGCAGTCTCAAATGCATTAAAAGGAAATTTTGTGTCTGACTTTTCTTCCTTTTACAACTGTAAATATGTATTCTTATTAAGCGTGTTATTTGTTTCAGACGTAATTGCACCTATAATCCCCAATGTCTGACAGGTTTAGGAGAAGACAAATATATGAAGTCTCAGCCAGCCGAAGTAATGTCTTTAGAAAGTTCCTTATCAGAGTTACGCGACCCGACCCAATATGTTGGCTTAAAGAATCTAGGTGCTACTTGCT